TAAATCCTCGTTGAGTACCCTCATCCTGGTGTGTTGATGGGCTTAACTTGAACTTCCCATCAGCAAGAACATGTTTAAAAGGAAATAACCCATTAATGGAGTCAATTATGATCCCTTATTTCAGAAAAAAAACAAAAAAAACAATTACCACCTTCATTTCACAAAAAAACAAACAAACAAAAAAAAAAAAAACTGGTTTCTCAACGAACCTACACATATTTTTCTTTCTTTCTTTAATTTATAAGGATTAAGTAAAACCAGGTTTTAAAAGTAGAATAATAGTTTGAATAATTATAGTATTTCTTAAACCTTGTGAGACTCTGGTATGCTAATTGATCAATCAAAATATTTCTCATTAAGAATCAGCATTATGAATTATGAACTCTTACTTTAGAAAACAAATCAGTTATCGAATTCTTTCTACCATTATAGCTTGGCTTTCATAATACAGCTTCATTTCTTTATCTTGTAAGGTTTCAACATCACATTAAATATAAGATTAGTTTTAAAAGGAAATCAAGCAGGCATGCTCTTTTTCTTTCTATTCATTCAAAAAGTGAAAGCAACTTTCTCAAACCCGACAATGAAAGCATTTATAAAGGTATCTCAAAGAAACAAAAATTTTAAAGCATAAAACTTACTTCTAATGATCAGAAGAATTGCTCCTTCCTCCACTTCAGGTCCACTGTGACTATGTCCTATATATGGAAATGCCAAAGCAAGCTGTACTTATTTAGCTATCATTCTTTATATAAGAGCTCACACTGTGGAAAAGACATTCGCAAAATAAAAATCAATTTCATCTAAAAAAAACACTTATTTCAACTGAATGCATAACTTTCATTTTTTTTTTAATGTTACAGTGTATGTGGCATTTTCTTTAATAATTTTAAATGACATAGACAACGTACGAACTCACCAATAAGGAATGTTGCACTGTATGGAAACTCCTCTCCTCTTGTCTTCAAAGGTCATCAAGCCCAGCCTGGTTTAGGCTCTAAAACAGAAATCACCAACACAGGGGGGCATTATATGAGATTCTAATAGTCTCCTTTGTCCTTATCTTATTTTTTAAAAAAGACAAACTAAATCTCCTAAGGCCTGACAGTTATTCTCAAAATGGTGGAATAAATTAATATCCCCTGTTCAAAAATTTTATGGTACCTGGAAGTACCATCCACAACGCTAAGACATTTGAAGAAAATGTAGTTTTCAAAAGCATGTCTAATAGGTATTTCTAAGTTAAGAACTAGTAAAAATTATGGTCCAGAAACAAACTAAGGATATATTGCTGAATACCATAAAAATGTGTCTCCTGTATTTTTTTCACACAAAAGACTGTTTGCAGCTACTTATTTTGTTCCCTTTACTCAGAATTCGCAGCATGTTGTGATAAGCAGATGATGTACATGGATGATATCAAAGTCAGTTAATATTTATAAGTTGCTGATATGAATATCAAAAATATTTATTGTAGTCTAACAGTAATCCAACTTTCTTTTGTAATTTTGTCAGTGACCTTGCTCAGGTGGAAAGGTACAGTGATTATACTTAACATGTATGTACTTCAGTTTAATATGTCTATCTTGTTTTCTATCAAGTATTCCCATGTTAATTACTACTTTCTTTTAATGACCTTTTTGAGAAAGGGAGGAGTAAATAATTCCTTTGTTTTTCATCAGGCAAATTTAAACAGCCTTTGTGCTAAATGTCACACTTCTTGATAGCCCTACTAAGTCTAACATTTCATATGCAAGCCACAATTTTATTTCACGGGTTTCTTTGTCCATCAACCTCAGAACGGCCCCCTCAGTGAATTTCAGTAGTGCCAATCAATACTCCATATGGGCTGGGCTCGAGCACACCTTTTATTAGCGACTTTTATTATTCCCACATGATTCTAAGTAGTATCAAGTCGATTTTTTATATTAAAAGTATAACAATAATATCTTCTATATTGAAATGATATCTTTAAAATGTAACCGAGTTCGGGAAGCGATCTTTGTGTCGGTAAACGCCAGCTGTGTATGTTTAAGTTCGACACGTTATATTTTAGATTTATGGCAAATAATTCTTTATATATCTAAACTCTAAGCTTACCTGGCTGAGGCCTGATTTTAAGCAACTAAAATTTTGATGTCTGCACTTTATAAATATTGCACATAAGACATTAATTGGCAGAATGCGTAGCTACATTCCAACCAACAAACTCGATATTTTAGGCTCCATGTTGCTTACGTTCCTTGTTTTAAACGCACCATGTTTGATTGGCGGAAATAAAAATAGGTCACACGATTGCAGAGACAGGAATATACATATTTCCTTCCAAAACTACAAGTGTTTTACTCCTTTCATCACTTTATGTATCAGCAAATCTTTAATACAACAATTAACAACTACGTTGAATAGAAAACAACAAAAAGCAGTTCTTACACTAGTGAATAAACAACCAATCAAATCCCAGAACACATAAACCTGCCTGTCTATGCCCGAAGTCTGGAACAAAAAAAAAGAAATGAAAACACGGCAGTGTCTTTTAATGCCCCTTTTAATGTGCTTTTTAATGTAAGTTATCTGTATGTTGACTAATCCATGTTTTCGCTTTAAGAATTTTTATTTTCTGGGATTATTCTATACTACTTGGGCACATTAGCGATTGAGTGTGTTAGAGACGAAAGTAAATTAGTTGTCGGTGTGTCACAACTAATGCAATCAGCATTTACTTCACTTAGGTTGAGTAAAAGTTCCAGATTTGTTTGGTAAAAGAATAATAATAAAGTTTCCTTTTCAATGTAAGCTTGCCCGGGGTTTTTCTAAAAATGTATTGATTTGGCAACGTAAGCCCTACAAGTGCCAAACTATATGTATACATATATGTACTATTTTTTTCATTTCTTCATAGTTACCTTGTTTCAAGGATTGTGGTTTTGGAGGTGCATGTTTGGAAAGAGTCCAAAGTGGGTCTGTATCTGTGAATAGAGTTTTTTTTAGGAAGTTCTACTCCATGTATTCCCTCATCCTTCTTATGTCTTTTGTGTAGAAATGTCCTGATGTTATTTAAACAAATGATGGAGATACGATCAAAAGCTTTTTGTCACAATCTTAATTTTTCACGATGGTTATTTGAGATGCCATCAACGTGTGCTTTAATTCCATAGTCAAACTCTATGGTCAAATTTCAGATGGAATCGACTCGTCTCACCTAATACTGTGTCGCATTGAGACTGAGACTGAGGAAGATGGCCGATGGCAGGAGCGGATCCAGGATTATTCGAAGGGGGGGGGGGGGGTCCGCGGATGCGAAGCT